CCATCCAATCGCCGCCACCCCCTCCCTCCCCTGGGGGAATGATTCATTCTGTACCGCCAGGCTCGTGTGCCTTTAGACTCCCGGCGGTCGATGGCGCAAGAGGGGAGGGGGGTGCAGCGCGGGGGGGGCTAAGGAATGGTGACTACTCTCATTCCTCTCCTTTCCCACGGCTTTCTGCCTTCGTGGGGCAGGCAGAATCCCCCGTCCCGCACTCGGCCGTGCCCCTCTGAGCTCCTTCTGGGTCCCGCCAAGCGCCCAAATTCTGGCTCTCCGGCCGGGGTATGTTGGGGAGGGGCAGGTGCAGGAACTTAAGATCAGTGGGGACAGCCTGGAGATGGGCAGCAGCTCTGGGGTTGAACCGTTGCTGGTTCAGTGGGGTTTGTGCTCTCCGTCTGGTCTCTCTTGGTGCAGGCGGGGGAGACGGCTGGAGGCGGGATAGGGGAGCGGGGCAGGGCTAGGGGGAGACGGGAATGCCGGGCTGTCTAGCTCGTGCCCTGTTAACCTGTGCTACAGGTTAACAGAGAGGCCAGCCAGGCCGGTCCCATCCGAATGCAGAGGAGAGCAAAGCTTAGCGGAGGGTCCCAGGGATCCAACATCAACACCAGCGGCCTTGTCTCCTAGGCAGCCCCCGGAGATGCTCCCAGATAATCTTGGCAAGCGCCCCCCCCTCCCCCAAATCCGTTCCCGGCCCTGAGGCATTGGGCCACCTCTGCCCCTAGTCCCTGATAGCGGTCTCCGGAGGGCTCTAACTCTCCAGTGTCGTCCTGGTTATTGGGCTCAGGGCAGGGGTAACGGGCTGGGGGGGCTTAGGGCCTGTGATGTGCAGGTCATCAGCTTAGCTGGGCCCTGCTGTCTGCACGCTGACTCTAAATGCCCATTCAGCGCCCTCTTTGGACGCTGCTCTGGTGCCGGCCTTGTGCGGGAGACGGAGCGCAAGCCGCGGCCTTTCCTCCTGCCAACAGGGAGGGGGGCATGAGAACCCGGCTGAGTTTTTTTTTTTTTTCCAGCCCCCAGGGCATTCAGGAAATGCTCGCCCTTGGGAGCAGGAAACCGAACCTGTGGAAGCCAGGGCTCTGTGCCCGGTGAGCCGCCCTCCAGCATGGGGCGTACCAAAGGCAGTCGTCACGGCTGCTCCCCGAGGGGTGGGGAGGCCCCAGGCCAGGCCTAGGGATCAGTGCCACATGCGAGTCCTGGCTGGGATTCGTCTGGAGGGGGGGGAGGTGAGCGAGGGGCCCGCAGAGTTTGCCACAGGAGCTCCCCAAGAGATTCCCACACCCGTGTGGCTTCTTCCAGCTGGCGGAGCGGGTTTGCAGGACGCTCATTACTGGGAGACGGCGGTGGGAGATGCGGGGAGGGGGAGGGCGGGACGTTAGAGGGTTTTTATGTGGCTTTCACCCTAACGGCAAAGGGGCATGGGAGGGGAGCAAGGGCCTGGGGGGAGTTGGGGAGACACTGTCGGCCAGGCAGGGAGAAGCGAGACCGCGTGGTCTCGGCACGCTCCTCGAGGGCGGGAAGGCGCCACCAGCGTCTCTGCCCGTGGGGCAGGCAGGCAGCAGGTGATACGGGAGTTCGAGGCTGCGCGTGGGGGGCCAGAGCGCAGATGGTGGCCGGGGGTCCGGCCAGCAAACCCCACCAGCTGACTCGTCTCTGGGACAGTCTGGAGGTGCAGCAGGCTGAGCCGTGTCCCAGCGGAAGGGTGGCCGCCGGGGCTGCTGAACGGCAGGAGCTGCCCAGCAGGAGGCGCCACCGGCAGCAGAAAGCGCTTGGGAGGGGGTGGTTGGCTGCTCACTTTATTTCGGGAGGTTTCTTCTTTCATGTGACCCCGTTAAAAATGTCGCTTTATTTCTTACCTGCAGGTGGGCTCTGCCAGTGTTAACACCTGGGTCCAGATCCCAGTTTAGCTGTTCCACGTCTTCAAACTCTCGCCGCCGCCCGCCCCCCCCCAAATACCCTGTGCTGCTCCCCAGGGTTCCCCACTCGAAATGTACCCAGCCCTGCACCCCCCTTCCCCATCTGCCCTCCCCTTCAGTGACCCCCCACCCCCCCGGGGCCCTATGGATTGTCGAACCCCTGCTCCTTCCTTCTTTACCCCCTGTCATCTCTCCAGCTGCTCCTCCCTGGGTGGCCTAACCCCCCTCCATATTTCCCCTCCCTCACTGAATACCCCCACTTGCCCTGTTTGAGGGAGAGAGGCCCTAGCAAGATGGCGGTCCTGAGGGGGGACTTGCAGTGCAAACTTTGGGCTGGACCGAAGGGCAGCTTGGGCCACGCTTGGAGCCGGGAAGGACGTGACCCTGTGGGGTGGATCCCCACTTGCTCAGAGTGGGCCTGGCCGTCTCCCTGCCGGGAAGGGGCTGCGATTGCTGTGGGCAGCGCCCGGCGCAGGGAGCCGGCTCAAGCCCCGTGAGGCCTGGTCGTGCTGGCTTGCGCTCCGCTCCAGTCCAGACGTGCCCCCCACCTCCCTACCCTTGCCACCGGGGCTCCACAACAGGCCCTCCAGTCTCGCTCAGAGCACCTCGCCTTGTCACAAAGCCCCAGCGGTTCTAGGCCTACAGCCTCACCAAGGCTGCCTCTGCGCTCCAGCCTGGCCCTGGAGGAGTGTGACCCGGGACTCCTTGTGGCTCTGCCACTGGCTCATTGTGTCTCCTTGGGCAAGTCACTTATCCCCTCTGTGCCTTCGTTTCCTCATCTAGAGCTGGGAGGAGGATGGCTGCCAGCCAAAGGGGGGTGGAGGGGGAGAATTCATTGGCTGGCAGAGCATAGCCTTGTACAGAACCAGGTATTTTAAGTGAGCCCAGTGTGAGAGCAACTTTTCCCTTAGAGCCTCTCCGGAGGTGCTGCTCCCTACCCTCCGTTAGCACGAGGGGCCAAAAGCCCTCCCCTGCCGACAGACACTTTCTCCCCCCTCTGTTCGTTCGGCACATCCAGCCCCCACCCCGGTTTTCTCACTTAGACATTGACCCGGACAAAGCACTTGGCAGCCCGAGGCGCCCCTCCGGCAGCCTGGCTGGGCCCAGTGGGTCACGTGGAGCGGGTGGAGTTGGGTGAGAGGGAATCAAGCTGGCTGTGAAAGGGACTGAGGGGAGTGGGCAGGCTGGGGCCCAGGGGAGCAGGGGGTGTCACGCAGGGATCTCTGCATGCGACCCCCTCCCCACCCCCCATCGAGGGTCACGTATCGTCCTTTCCTTCCACCAGCCGGCGCTCCAGGAAAGCGCTGTGTGGCCAGGCCCACTGGCTACTCGAGAGCTTTGGTTCCCCCGTCCTGGGCCCTTGGGGGGCTGCTCTGCAAGGTGGTCTCTGCGGGCCCCTTTGTGCTCCAGGACATCTCCGCCGCTTCTGGCCTGGGCGTGAGGGGCTGGAGACACAAGCCATGTGGCAGCGGGTCCCATCCCTGGCCTGAGACGCACTAGACCTCTCCTGCGGCGGGGGGGCAGTCACCCCTTGTCCTCTCCCTGCCGCGCTCACGTCAGGCTGGGGAGCTGCTTTCCGGGCGTGTTCGGCGTAACGCTCGGCGTGGGAGCTGGAGGGGCAGCGTGTGCGGAGACGCGATGCCCGATGGCCGCAGCTGCCTATTGACTCGGCTCCCGTCCCGCCCCTCTTGTTTGGGGGTGGCTCGTGGACGGTCCTTCCAGGCTGGGGGATGCTCCTGGTTCCTCTCCCCTGGCGGCCGGTCTCCCTCCTGGCTGTGGGTTTGGTGGGTGCCCCTGTCTGTACCATGGGCAGAGCGCGACGGGCCAGGGCTTGAGTTTGGGTTTTGCCGCCTGGGTCCGGTTTCGAGGCGGCTTGCGATGGCCGGGGCGGATGCGGTGCTGGGAGCGCAAGGCTTGGGGCTGCCCAGGTGGCGGGGGAAGAGCCTGGCCCTCCGCAGGAGGGAGGGGTGTTGGAAAGGGGGCTGGAGGGGCCACCCGCCCAAGGTGGCTCTTCTGGGTATGACACGACCCGGCGGTGGCCCGAAAAGACCGGATGCAGAGTGGACGTGTCGCAATCTTGTTGTGGCCCGGGGAAGCCCCCAAGCCTGGATTGGGCGCCCCTGCTCCAGCAGTGACAGGAGAGGGGTGCCCATGCTGGGTGGCCGGGGGACTGGCCCGGGGGCAGGGCCTGCAGGCAGGTGTCTGCCCTGGGGTGTTCTCCCAGCAGGTGTCTTGGTGGGCTGAGCGTTGGTCTGTCTGCCCCGGTGGCGCGTGGCTGTCGGCTGTCTCACCGCCGCGCTCTCCCTTTCCCGCCTCTTTCAGGAAGCTGTCGGGCAAGGCCGGGGGAGAAG